AACATAGAGAATATTAAAATTATTTTTTTATTTATCATTTTTGTGTTGCTTACTATCATGTGGTGTATTGTTGGTCTTTTCATGGAAAGCATTGTATTTTGTCTTTTCATGGAAAGGATTGGTTACAGATGGCATGAATGTTTCAACCTTCAAAGGAGATAATGAAACTATTCGTTATGTAATGCTTTGCATTTTTCGTGCAAAATATTATCGAAGAGAGCGAAAGATTAATCGCGCATTAGTTTTTGAAAATTAAGCATACATGTACTAACAATTTAATAGGATTTGTGACCTTATTTAGTCTACTAGTCAACCTATATTTCATCATCTAAGTAGCATTCAAGCCTTTACATTTATTTTTTGGTTATCCGATAGTCTCCTCGTATATGTCGTCAGCTCAGAAGGTTTCTACTGATGTCACTTCTCTCACACGAACTAATTTTGCCTTGTAAGATTGGAAAAAAGATAAAACAGGTTACAAAACATTTGATCGCAGGACAAATGATCTGAGGCAATATGTTGTATGCAAAAGTTCAGCACAAGTGCTCCTGCAACACCGTTGCAGAATCAAACAACATAGATGATGGACTCATAAAAATGAGTTTGGAAGAAGTTAGCAATCATCTATTTTTATCTTGACAAAGCTAATGCCAAAGAAGAAATTGGTCACCATAAATCTAATTGTCATGCACATATTTGCATTCTACTCCAAAATAACACCTTCCTTGGCGATAGAAGCGACATGATTCTCTGTCTCTTATAGGATATTGCCTCTTCGGTGGAATCTGGTGGAAAGAATTCACACTAACCAAAGGTTGCATGTGATGGGAGGAGCATGCTCTCTGTTGAGGTAGTCGATACTGGTGATGACGTTCTGCATGAAGGTGCAACTGGTGCATGTCCGGGAGATAATTCTGTTTCTGCAATGTTCCACAAGTGATCTGATGATGCTGAAAGCCACCTGAAGTTTGCTTCGAACCTTGGTGAAAAGAGTTATGATTCTCAGGCATGCTAGGCTTATCAGACCTCATATTCAGATGTCGTCCAGGCCATTCTTCTATATTTTCCTTGAAACTTGTTGCTTGTTTCGGATCATTTGATTCGACCGAATTTAGATTGTGCTGCAATGATCGTAGATGCTGAATCTTGTGCTGTTGAACAGCAAATGATTGATGCTTTGTAGTAGTTGGTTTATCAAACCTCATCCATAGATGAGGTCCAGACCCACTTACTGGCATCTCTTTGAGGATTGTTTCCTGCATAAAATTCAAGTCGACTGAGTTTAGACTCTGCTGAGGTGGTTGTCCACGTTGAAGCTTATGTTGTTCAACAACAGCTGCTCGAAATGGATCAACTTGGCTGAGAATTCCCTTTTTTCCTACCGTTTTACTACTACTTTTCTTCGGAATCCTGTAATAACAAATGAACAAAAGATCAAGAAAATGCCGTTAACTTAAAGAAAAAATGATTGACCAATAAGCTTCTTAAACAACATATAATAATAAGAAATAAATATCTCAACTAAAAGATTACCATTCAATCTCTTGTAATTGAATTCTAACTTTTTCTAAGGTCATTTCAAGAGTAAAGGATTTACTCAATTGCTTGGTATGTAAACTATTTCTTTCCTAAATATCTCCTCAAGGAACCGGGATAAGAAGTTACAGAAAATGCAAGGTCATTTAGTTAATAGTCCTCTACATGAAAACTTCAGTTAAAATCTCAGGGGGGAAAAAAAACTGAAGTCACAGGAAAAAAGAAACCTTCATTTAGACAAATTTTTACCGGTCCAATCTGTCTTTTTTCAGCATCTTCTCCTGGATCCTATTATCTCGAGAAAATCGTGCAAAGGATCCTCTTGCATGTTTCTCCTGCAAAACTTTTCTCCTATTCTCTTCATCATCCCACCTCTGCAAATCAAGAAATTAGACCATCTGTTATAGCAACACTCGTGTTTCTTGTTATGTGCATAGGATAACACCCACCTGCCTCATTGTCTTGAAACGGTAGAGGTTTCTTCCCTTGATAAGGAGGGGGTAGAGAAGAGGTAGTGTTTTTTCTCCTTTGCTCCATAGCACCTCAATCTACTCCCAGAATGACAGTGACATTCTCTTAGATGTTATGCAGTGGTTGATAAAGGTTAGAAACTTCTCTACTATGGTGTTTATATCATACTGTAAACGTGTGTTGCTGCTTGGCTGCGCCATAGCTTTCCTTCACAATCCTGCCGGCTACTAACCTTATACCACAAGGGGGACCTGTGGCACTTCTTGATGCAATGCTAAACCTGAAATAAAGTCGGGCAGAACGAACATATGAGAGTTAGATACGTAGAAATGGAGCATGAACAATGAAGAATCATTTTTAATATTTGAGATTTTCAAAAATGATCATGAGTATATATAGACATGTTACATTTCATATACATTCTGCTCAAACATCACCACATCCCCAGTGCAGGCATCACCTATAGATAGAGAAAGAAGCATTGATTGTTAATCGAATGTGTGCTTGATAGATCAGCAAAAAGATGCTGATATTGTTTTATTTAATCAACTAACAATAGCCTTAAATCTTGTACCCACTTAGTTATGCTATCTTAGTTTATCGTTGTTTGCTTAGAATAATTAGAAGCCATTATACCACTAAATGTGCTTTATTTAATGCTTTACTGCACTGAAACATGAATCTTACCTTTGCAATTAACCACAAAGCTAGAAATCGGATACTTTCTTTCTCCACCATCGTCTTTGATCCTGCAATTGATTATGTAAGATAAAACAACTTATAAGTGGACAACTGGTTCGCGTGTAATGCTTATGCTAATCGAAGATTGTTGACTCAACATTGTGTGCCAAATAATATGTTCTTTGGGTGACCAACCATCAGTTATAGGACATGGCACACATACACTTACTTTCCAACAAATTCTTAAGTTAATAGTGAAAGATATAATAGTAATATTAAAATTTACATACTCTAGGTGCTCTCTGATTCGCCCTATGAGGGTGTCTTTCTTTCCTGTTAACCTCAGCCCATATTTCCTCAGATAGACCTTGCACTGATCGACTTTAAGTTTCTCCATCTGGCCATCTGTCATCTCAAGAAGATCGACTAGACATTAGGTATTGTCTCAACAAAAGGAAGATAATAATTTATCCGAAATCATTTGTACATAAACAATTAGCACAATAGAGCAAATCTTGATGACTCTTTGTTAACATAGAAGTAGTACGACTCAAGAGACATCTTTACGTGCAGAAATTTGCTGGGGCCAAAAGACAAAACTTGTTCTTTTTGAAGTCTTCAAGAATATCAAAATTACTCTGGAAATTACCGAATATAGAATATCAAAGCAACAATGCGTTGGCATGAGTCCGTCTTATAGCATCTCTAAAGAGATTGTACCACACAGAAAGCAAAGAAGTTCTTAAACAAGAAAAACTACAAATTGTTGAAACAGGGGTTTCAAAATGAATTAAAGAAAAATCTCAACATGACTAAACAAGAAGGAGAAGCAAACAATTGTTAGATTGAAACCGCAACGAATGTTCAATCAACTATTTTCTCTTTATGTTATAAGAAAATTTCCCCTTTTTTTCTTTATTTCTACATAAAATATGCAATGGCAATTAGTGTCTCAAAATATAGAGGATGAAAACGGAACTGTCAAGAATATAAAACTATAGGCTTAAGCTTTTAGACGCATTGATAAAAAAATACAAGAGGAAAAGGAAGAAAAATATGTGGAATGGCATCCGACTGACCTTTGATAAGCTTCTCGACAACCTCGAAACATTTCCTATCCTTCGCGTCGAGCTCCGGAATCTCCACCAGGGGGCAATCCGACCCATTTTCTCCATCCCCTTTTCTCGTTTTCCTGTATGTGCCAAAACCAGTTTCAACAGAGAAAAGAAACGGAGTCCACATTCATCTCTTTGATCGAACGAGACAAGAACCCCTACCGAGACTTGGATTTCTCGAGAGAGATACTTGAAAGGGCCGATCGCGTCTCCTCCAGGACATCAAACGTAGGATCTTCCTCGGAATCATCCGTCCCGCACAAGTCGCAATCCAACTTTCCCTCTTCTTCCTCCTCCTCCTCCGAAGAACATTCATCTGCATCAACATCATTATTGTCTTCTTCATCTCGAGGACCCGCTACATCTTCCAATGGTTTGAGCTCACGAAGGGCGGCCATTGTATCGATGGTGGTCTTTCCTGTGTTTCCCTTTTTAACTTTGGAGGAGAGAGAGAGAGAGAGAGAGAGAGAGAGAGAGAGACCGTCGGCAGAAACGAGGGTTTGAAATTTAAACGGGTTGGGTCTCTTTTGGGCCTATTTGGGCCAAATATGACTGCTAAAGTACTGGGCCAAACTATTGCTCCAACTCGCCGTCGCCCTCTTCCTGGACGCCCTCCGTATGAACCTCCCCTTCGGCGCCGGGCTGTCCTTCACCAGGCGGCTCGGCGTGGCTAAAGAGTGAGAGGAGGCGAAACTGCAGCTGGATCAGGGCCGGCGGGGCTTCGGGGCTCACGACGTGGGGGTTGTCGGGGTTGGGAGCGACGGCCCTGATGCGATAGAGGCCGAGGGCCACGGAGAGGGCTACGAGCCACGCCCATAGCGCGCCGGCGAGGGAGGCGGAAACCACGGCCGGCGCTTCCAACAGTTCCATTCCGGGAAGAAAAGCGGAGTTTTGGAAACAGCAACGCGAACGGTGAGCAGTAGACATAAGGGTGGAATAGCGAAACGTGGACCGTCGGATTCGGCACTCGTCGGATGGGGAAAGACGACGGGAATGGAGCGCCGGAGATGCAGCTTCGAAGAGACGCAACGAGGCGACGCGTGTAAGGCGGAGGAGGAGGTGGTGGCGGTGGAAGAGTTCGCCTCCCGTGTCTCGACCGAACCAGCATATAGGGAAAGGTCTCTTTACTATTAGTTCCTTGAGTGGAACCCGCTTCCGGGGCATCCAACGACTAATGAAAAGAGTCCTTTTACGCGTTTGATGACGAAGCCTGTAAGAAAGGGCATCTCATCGTCCACGTCAGATGGGGGCCACTGTAAACTTCCTATAGTGGACCGAGAAGGCAAGTTCATGTGGAGGCCCAACAAAGATATACATGAGTCCAACATCAACAAGTTCTTTTAAGAACAAGAAAAATATATTGAATTATAAAGGACATTTTAACTTAAAAACCTTGAGGGTTTAATCAAATAGCATCCCATACTTGATTTTTATCTATGGATTTTGTTTTTTATCAATTTAATGAAAATATCCCTCCCTCCATTAGTAGCCTCTAATCATCATCGTCGTCATCATCCCGGCACTACCCTCTCCTCTTTTCTCTTTCCTCCATTATCATTTTTATTTTCATTCCTTCTTCTCTCTACTCACTAAGGCTTTCGACAAGCAAAGAGAGATGAGGAAAGAAAAAGGCGCGAGTGATGTTAGTCACTCGTGATGGGAGCAAGAAACAACGAACAATATTGTTTGTGATGGTAACAAGAGATAACAGCAACAACAGTCAAAGATAATATTTATGATCGAAAGTTATTAATAGAGAGAAAGATATTTTTATTAAATTAATAAAAAATAAATATTCGATGTAAAAAAAGAGGATAAAATGGCTAATTATAAATATAATCCTTATTAACTATGAAAAATATATTTACTAAAATATTTATAAAATCTTTACCTATCTTTATTAATTATGAATAACAGTCTTTTCAGATGGGATGACGGTTTATCGAAGGCCTATGAAGCTACGCTGTTGGAGGAGGCTACAAGAAAACAAAGGCGATGCCAACATGAGACTAAAGCCAAAGGCTATGGTCAATCTGATCCAAACGAGGAGAAAGGTGAGAGTGTGAGTTGTATTTGTCAAGGGGAAAGAGAGAGAGAGAGAGAGAGGTTAGAAGTAATTTATTGACGAAGGAAAATTTGCAACAATCATAAATTCCAGCTACATCTAATTTTTCTTTTCCTATGATTTTTTTGTGTAGCATAATTTTTTAATCAAGTCAAGAGAATTAAAATATATTTTCTTATCCATCTTCATGTCTTCAGCTACCCCACTTCACACCATAGAGTCTCCCATAACTATGTTTATACTATATTAAATATTTTTTTATTATGTTTGCTCCAAGTGATATGATTATTGTTTTGGCTACCCCTCCTCTTCAAAAACATTTAATCTCTTATAATCGAATGTATAACGAGGGTTTTAAAAATTAATACTAGAGCTCCTATTAACTTAATCCACATACAAATCTTACCGAATAAAAATATTAAGAGTGAAATCAATGAATCAAACATTCTTCGTCTTTTATCATATTAAGTCAATTTCAAATTTTAGACCGCATCCCCAAAAATAATAATACAATAATATTCAAAATAAAATATTATATTGAGTCGATGGTTACAATTGACTCTTTGACTTCTCGTCCTATTTTCTTTAGATCAATCTAATAAATAACTAATGCTCACTATATGTATATTATTTTTAATGAATAGATCATATATAAATAAATATATAAAAGATGATGGTTTCTAGAGATTCCAACATTTGAAATTATATATTATTATTATTTAAAATGCATTATTGAGTCCATGCTTGTTGGCAATGGAAGAGCACCAAACCAATTCACCAAACAAAGGCACTTGTCATCTTCCACAAGCCAACTTGGGTGGTGGTGCATTCCTCCCACCGCCATCAAGCGGTCCCCCATTCTTCATATGTCTTCCACATAAAAGCATGAATGGATTCTCAATCTCCTCCTTCCTTCCTTCCTTATCTCTTCCTCCCCCCATGATCATCATCAGAACACACACAAGAAACAAAGAAGCAAGAAATGCACTGAACTCAATTAACTACGTGCATTTAGGACCTTAGGTGCTAGCCACACTTTCTAGCCAATTAGGTACATGAAGTCAAATGATTGATCGGTCTGACCAAGAATTGCATCAAACATTTATTTATTGCTCTGCTCAACATTACAAAACGATCCATCTCATCAAATAATAATAATTAGAATTATAATGTAATTTTATTGTCAAAATGATCATAACAATAACAACAATATAGTGCTAGCCATCTATTTATTATATAGCAACATAATTCGATATATATTTCTTTCTATGTTTATTCATCCCTCTGTCTAATCAAAAGAACATCCAAATCCAATCAAGAAAGGGGCAGTGTAGAAGAGAACGGCGTAGGGAGTAAGCACAACAGACGCATGTAGCCAATGAATAGAGTGAGTGAGTGAGAGAAGCGAACACGTAGTGTTTAGATTGGATGGGCCCCTCATCCTGTGGTGCCCACTCGAACCTTACGGTGGTGAGTCACATGGACTCCAGCTCTGGGGTCCACTATCAGTAAGTGATGATGGTCCCCTTCCCTTGTGCTTTCTCCCTTCCAAGACAAGCCCACAGTAATGGGTCCTCAACTACTTGCTTACATAGATAGCTCTATGTAATATAATATTAGTATGTTATGTGAATTTATTGTGTTCATAGCATAGTGAAGAAAATTATTTTATCAGGATCAATATTTCTGATAACACAAGATCCATGATCTTGTTCCGTTTCACACCATTTCCAATAAAATCTAGCAAAACTTGTTTCGATCGGATCGCGATCGGCCGACCGATCGAATTTGTATTTGGTTGGATTCAGATTTTTTTTTTTTTTGTTGTAATATGTAATTACTGTCATTTTAAATAAACTAAGTTCTGCACTTATTAACTATGGAGTTAGCCCTAATAATTTTAAATTACATTGATACCATCATAAATATTTTCTGATAAAAGTGAGCTGAAAACAGTAGCAAATTATTTTCTCCATTTGCCTTCACTTAGTATAAGTAAATAGGTTTGTGGTGTGATTGGAGAAGCAACATGGTTGGTTCCCATGAACTTGTAATTCTTTTGCAATATATAGCCATAATCACAGCATATTAATGGTATTATTTAGTTGATTGAAGAATATATGTTATTAATGTCACTAAATCAGTTCTACATTCTTAGGTTGATGTCCCAAAGGCATTCTAGCATCTCTCTCTCTCTCTCTGTATACTAGAGAGAAATGGAATATATAAATATATGTTTGGAACATTAGGACTCTTATATTCACATGAGAACACATTGAGTTTGATCTTCCTACATTATCTTGATTATTGACTTTCTCACTTCAGACTGTTCACTTTCTTTTCTTTGTGAATTGTCTTTTGAAAAGTCCTTTGCATTCTAAATTATTATAAGATTCTCAATTCATATACTTTTTTCTACCAGCAAGTTTTGTGTTATGGAAGGAGAATATATTCTGACATGCAAAAAGGTATGCTTAAATCTTTAGTTGATGTGAAATATGACACCAGTAGGAGTCTCCCATGGATACAGCACTTTTCATTTCTATGTCATGATGTTTGGCATCACAAAAGATTTTGAAGGCAAACCTTTTATATAGCATTATTCAATATAAAAGAATGAAATAAGTAAAAACCATGTCTATGAACAGCTCAACTTTCTTGCTGAATGAAACAGAAATCTTACATAAAAATAAGAGTAATACCACACAATCAGACTTAAAAGTTTTCTAATCGACAACATTAGTTTGCTCATCGACAAATACTTGAAGTCACCAAACTGAAGGATCCAACAATTACATAAGATCTATACTGCTAAATCCAAATTAACCACTTGTACAATTTTCACTTTGTGAAAATGGCACATTGTAGATTCTTAGGATGATGAGCCAATCATTTTACCCTCACTCAGATGCTAAAACATCAAGAGAATTGAGGATGCTTGCACATTGCTGACTACAGAAACAGTAGCAAATGCAACAATGTCTTTTAGTATTTATAGCAACCCCATGAGGCCTCGTTTAGTTGCCTTCCAGGACTAGGAAACTGCCTTGTACTTTAGTCACCATTGAGAGACATGAGGAGCCACTCCTGCTCCAAGCACACCGTCAACAGAAGCGTGGAGGTGGAGAAGCCAAACCACAAAGAAGAACCGCATCTATCCGGTGCGTACATTCGTAGTCTTGTCAAGCAACTGAGCTCCTCAAGGTCCAGAGCTTCAACAGATCCATCGTCAGCGAAAGAGGAGGTTGTAGGTGGTGTTTTCCAAGATCTTGGCAGCCATGGTGAGCACCTTCATGGAGCACAGCAACAACAACAATTACCAAGGTCAAGGCCACCAAAGAAACAAGTGAGAAGAAGACTCCACACAACCAGGCCTTACCAAGAAAGATTGTTCAACATGGCAGAAGCTCGAAGAGAGATTGTAGCTGCCCTCAGATTGCACAGAGCTGCCATTAAACAAGCAAATGAACATCAGCAACAACAACAGAACTCGGCACCAGCATCAAATTTCAACCTCTCTGCACCGCCCATGAAAGAAACATCGAATGAGCTGATGGGTTCTGTGAGGAACACTACAAATCATCTGCCGAATTACAACTTTACTAACTACTTGCATGGCGCTCCTTTCTCGCCCATAACTTTCCCTTCTTCCTTCTCGTGGGCTTGTCCATCGATTACACCTTTGTCCATCTCTGATAACCTGAATTTTCCTTTGCCTGATCAGCCATTAGGCCTAAACCTCAACCTTCAAAGTTTCAAGGATATCGACATTTCCTTGCGCCACAACCACCGCAATCAACAACCAATTGAATCATCACAAGCTTCATCATCGTCTTGTTCTTATTCTCCTCCTAGTGCCATGTTGGGTATAGAATTACCGGCTGTCTCAAACAATTCCAAACAAGCCTCTCAAGTTCGATTGGACCCTGCATCCATGCCGCTGCACCTGGCGATGGATGATGAAGAGATGGCAGAGATACATTCAATTGGGGAACAACACGACATGGAGTGGAATGATAAAGTGAATTTGGCAACAACAGCATGGTGGAGTAAATTCCTGAAAAGCATGGAAGGTGGCCTAGAGGAGAGAGAGGGTGGAGTCGGTGCAGATAGGCTTCATGTGTTTGATGAGTTCCTAGATATACCATCTTGGTTAAATGATGGTGTCGAAGGGAATACAAAGGAGACTTCCTCTTGTCAGCAAGATTTGGATGACAATTTTCAAGTGGAGGATTATTTGCAAGATACATCCTTGGCAAGGTAAGTGAAAAAATTTATGTTTCCAAAGGTTTAGATCAGTTTTGATCAATTGCAATCCATGACACAATCAATACAAAGCCTAATTCTTTTACTGACTGTTTACTTTTTCTGAAAGCCACGAAAAAAAAATCTATCTTCTGAATTTCAATATCTGCTGAAACAATGATAGATCAAAATTTGATGAGATTGGCATACGTTGAATTTTAGCTGCAAAAAATTAGTCATCATGTGGCCTAGCCACAAAGTCTTCTGCATGTGATTTAAGTCACAGACAGCATGATCATCAGAAAGACCTTCATTTATTCGGTTGACACATTATACTGAAACTTATTGTCTTTTGCTTGTGGTTTTTATTTTCTCTTGCAGCTTGGATATTGGAGAAATTGGATATTGGTAAGAAGAATGGTTTTCAGAGTGAGAAAGATGATTTTTGACAAGGGCTATTTCATCAATACTTCAATAAAATGAAACTCAAGGTTCTCTTGGAGATTGCAGTGTAATGAGACTCACAATTTTCAAAGAAATCTTTCATCATGACCCAAATAAAGTGCTCTCTTAGATATAGAATGGCAAGTTCAAGAGTTGAATACAATGTAACAGGGAACAGTTTCATTTTCTTTGAGATGTCAAAGTTTTTGTTTTTGTTGTTTGTTACTGACTGTGATGGATGTGATGTGAAATGACTAAATTGATGACTATATATAAGCCACACTACTGGACTTAAAATTCAGATTACCACAGAGCATACCTTGATTAAGACGTTTGAATATTTGATTAAAAGAAAAATAGAGAACTCAATCAATGCAGAGCAGGTAACTCAACTATATCACATATTATCCATTCTAATACAATAAAGTTTCATTTGAGATTAAATTGTGATCTTCCATTCAAAAGGATCAATTCTAACCACATCTGAATCTAGTTTGATTTATCCAACAAGAAGACTCTGGATGTGGAATTTTTCAGATTTTCTGAACAATTATAGCCAGTGAAGCACGTCTTTTTATTTCCTCAAATTTCTTGCACGATTTTGGGATTGTATTTTTCTAGCTAAGAGTCGTAGTGAGGAATTTATCTGTGATATTTACAAGAATTTTGTTCATAAGATCATAAGAAAAGTTTGAACTCACTTGTTATATCCCCCTCCCAGTCTATCAAGCAATAATCAGTTTACTAGCAACAAGATGTTTTCCTTTTAACTTCTATGATTTAGTTTCAACTTTAACCTAGCTTCTTAAGATCATCACAGAAAGCATGGTCAAGGAAGTTGTCACCTTGGTGAGGTTGCCAATCCTAGTCGATTGCCACTGCACAAGGTCCAAGCTAAAAATGAGCTTTCATTCATGATCTCTGTGAAGTATACTGTAACGAACATTTCAGAAATGTTCCCCACCTAATTTAATGTAAGCCTAACAGGTTTCCATATTTCAAGACTATGCAGTAGAAGACAAGATTAACAATGAAAGAGAACATGAGGCGGTAATTGGGAAAAGAAACTAGTGGCTGCTACTTTCGAAAGAAATTTGAGTTACTTTTTATGCTAGATGTCATTCATGACATCATTCTTCTTGTAACACTGTATGATATGAGTCCAGGAACTTTGGCAACAATGATTAGGTAAAAGATCTTAGAAACAAAAAGTGCTTTTTCATGAACCTTAAAATCTCAAATTAAGGAAGTAGTGCCTTCACTTCATTTTCTTATAAACAGATTTTCAAATGACAAAGGTGGTTGATGTTGTCTAGATATGTAGGAACAGACTGATGAAACATAGGACACTGATGAAGGTGGTTGATGTTGTCTAGAGAATGTTAGAGAAAATAAATGATATTCCAAAATGTGGATGAGTTGCAAGTTTTCTTAAACCTTGTTAGAAAATTTGGTTTCCTAAACTCTTTGCTAATCCAATCATCCTGCTGGGAGGACCAAATCAAAATGTATCCTCATTAGAAAAATAACTTACATATTTGTTCCTCACCACAAATTGCCCTTATGGTAGCCTTTTCTCCAGTAATCAAGCATATGGACTTTCTGCAGAAATGGAGCATATGAATTTTAACTATCACTTTTCTACCTTCAGCATATTATTAGTTCTGAGTTCTGACAAGATATGGTGTCCTAGTAATTTTGTCAGGTGTGTAGCTGTTCAGGCAATCAAACGATTCTAGATCTGTAAACTTTTGTCACGGGACCGAACTATATAGGACCTACGGTCTGTCAGAAAAATCTCCATTTGCTTCTGCAACTCTTATTTCTTTCATCCTCCTCTCTTTTTCATTGGTTATGTATCACTTCTCTGATCATTTACTACCTGGTCACCTAGATTAGTAATTCAAATATCGAAAGGCATATTGAGATTTAAGCACAAAAATAAAAATCTAATGAACTGCAATCAAAAAAGAAAACGAAAGGAAAAAAGTCATTACATGTTAGCATGAAACTTTGGATTTGGCAGCTAGATTCAGCGCAACAATAGCAGTCTATCAGGGGACATACAAGTATATAGAGATGAAAGATTAAATTACAGCTGTAGTCGGTGAAGAGGAAGTGCTTTGTCTCAAATTGGCCATATGAAAATATATTAACCTATATAATGCTTATATATTGTTTCAGAAAAAATCAACTGACACTTTCCCACCAGGAATACTGGGATATGTGGTCTAGACTAGAGGTTAAGAGACTAAGCTTGTCTCCCCATGGTGTTAGCAGACATTCTTTTAGACATGTATGTGCATCATACAAACTGAAGTTGTAGTGTCACACAATATCAGAAACTATACAAAATTAACAACAAATTGAATGTTTATGTTCTTGCCAACCAAGCCTTGACATAGTGTCTGATTTTCTTTCTTTATCTTAAAAAAATTCTTGGCACAAATCATCATGGAGATGTGCCTAAGTATATGACCTAACTAATTTTGCATGCACGAAATCACTTGTTTGTTGTAACACAAAAAAAGGGGTGCTTGTTCTTTTAAACAACAAAAGTTGAACTACAACCTCTCCAACATCACAACAATTTTCAGATAGTTCTCTTCATCATCATCATCACAAAGATGTAAAATTGATAACCAAGTTATATATAAGATATAAGATTCTACATGGACTAGTCTTGCTCAAAACAGAGAAATAGGTAAAACCACCCACATTTTCTACTGTAAATTTTGAAGGAGTGGATGAAAGCCTTTCTTATATCCTTTGCCTCAATCAAAATGATATGGGCAGAAATATTGAAAATTTCAGGTTTTACAACATCCCTAATAGAGGCATTTTTCCATTAAAAAAGGTGAATCTTGCAGGAGGCATGATGAGAAAGGAGAAACATCCCAACACTGAGAGGATAATAACAGACTAAAGTTGGCATTGCCTTGAACTTCTGAAAGAAAGAAAGAAAGGAAGAAGAGGAGGTATAATGAGACAGACTAAAGGTGGCATGGCCTTACTTCTGAGAAGGTCTGTTCCCACCAATCCCTTCACCACCAGCACTGAGAAGAGGTGCAGCAGACAAATGGGGGTCATCCACCAATCCCCCAAAATGTAGAAACCTTCCTTCCAAACCCCTCTTCTTCTTATCATACAAGGGTAAGAAGTAAAACAGGGGAAGGAAGATTAAAAGATGTGGTACCAACAATTGATCCTGCAGACTGGCTCTCTCTCTCTCTCTCTCTCTCTCTTTCTCTCTTCATTCTCACACAAACATTTGTATTCTTGCAGTTGTCTCTTTTTGGTTATTTGAGATGATACATCCTAAAGTTAGATGAATGCCAAAACTAAGCATTAATTGTAAAACTGGTCAAGCATTGATTTGGCACCATCTACTTAAATGTGGCAGAGTGATTCATTTCCTGCACTCTTTAATGATGCTCTGGCTGCCCAAACATCAAAATCACTGCCATCTCCACATAAATGACAGAGTCATACTTGGTAGTGAACTGACAGCTGCGTTTTGGTGGTATGAATTCCCCACCATTGCCAACGCAAGACACTGATCTGCTCTAGCAAGTGGAGCATGCAGTTCATCCACCATAGTCTGCTGCCAGCTTGACAGGGATTATGTTGGATTGGGTCAGACCTCGAACCAGCCACCCCTCTACTGGTTGTGACCATGACACATGCCTTCTATCTATCTATCTTTTCTTTATTATTATTATTCATTCTTATTATTGATGTTGTTGCTGTTGACTACCTAAAGAGTCAAATAGTTGAATCTTCAAAATATTTTATATACAACCAATTAAACTTGCAGTTGAGCATTAAAAAGGATCCACAATGGCCTTTTTTTGGGTCATTGTCATTTAAATTCTTCCTCCTGCTAATATGGATCTATGACGAGATTCATTTCTTGCCATCGTCCGTGTCATCAGCCACATGGATTCGAAGCTTCTGTACGATCGATTGTTGTCTTCTTGTCGCTTGCGTGCTCGAGCTTACCATCTTACTTACCACCTGAATGATCGATCATCTTTTGTTGACCCATCAACTGTTTGTGGTTTTGACTAACTAACTTCAAGTGCTCCGTGCACGTACGTGGACGGGCACACGGCACCAATGTTTTCGAGAAGAATCCATGTTGAACAAGCGTCAGATGATACGAGTTGAATGGTCAGCTGTCGGATGCTGCATCCGTACATCTATTGGACGGTGAGCGAAGTCAACGTGTCCGACGTTGGACGGAACGATTGTCCGTGTACATCGATCACATAGCGTTGAAACTATTTTTGATTAACGTTCGCTGTGTGCACACTAACATCGGCTCAGCATTTACGTCATTTTGATGAGAATTCAATGCTAGAAATTTGACAGGGTTTACTTTTTCTTTTTCCTTTAAATTCAATCTGAACTCACGACGGTAAACATCGTTGAAATACCAAGTATATGTTTCCATCTGAAATAATAATAATAATAATATCACTGATGTTGTTTAGTTTGATGTTGCTTCCATAGAACTAATATTATTCTGTACTTACTTGGAGTTTCATTATCATCTAACCGATGCACGAGTGCCTGACTCCAATCAAATTAATCATGATAATTATAATATGAGTTTAGCTCTTTTATGTGTGTATATATAGCAGTAGTACTTTTGTTCAGATATTTAATTATGTTTCTGAGAAATTGCCATGCGAAACTTTGTTTTGGGTTCTGAATTAACCCAGCTAAGCAAAGTGGAGCCCAACCTTTTCTTAGTCAAATGACAGGAATGGTGCTGACATGGCAATTCCAGATATCATGGGCCCACAAGCCAACCATCATGATAGTTAAGCCCGTTGGTCTCAACAGTTGAATCATTGGGATATCTCATCAGAGACTATCGAGAGAGCTGACAGTCGTATAGTTTATTGTCGAAGACTATAACTTTTTGTGATGATGTTGCAAACTTATTTCTCGAGTTCCATTTTTAGACACAATAAAATGGACTGAGAATTAATATTAGAAATTCCAGAGAGGTGATGAGCTATATATGTCATCGGTAGAAGCAACAACAGCACCCCAAGCATCCTCATCCTCCTCGGTCCACCACTCCGGTAGTGCTCCTGCTGCTACGAAAGAATCCTCCATCATCAATCCCTCTACTGCCGTCGTCACCGAGCTCCCCTTCCCTTGACCCACCGCCTCCGTCGAATTCTCCCCGCCACTCTCCTGTGCTTCCCCAGCAGGCCGCCTCGGTTCCTCCTGCGCGAACTGCATGGCCGCCGCCCGTATCTCCTCCTTGCTCAGCCTCTCCGCCGAGGGTATTTGGGGCGGCTGGTCGGGGAAGTTGAACGCCGCACGAGTGCCACGGAGACAGTACACGGCAGCATCGTAGGCCCTGGCGGCCTGCTCGGCGGTGGGGTGGGAGCCGAGCCACAGCCTCTCCCGGCTGTTGGGAAACCGCACCTCTGCGACCCACGAGCCCCACTTCCTCATCCGCACTCCCTTGTATCGCGGTGACGACGACGATGACTGCGCTTGCTTGCCGGTGGCCGCCTTCTCCATGTCTTTCTCGCTCCCTCCGTAACGTCCTACGCTTCTCTCTCGGATCGATTCGCAATGGCTTTCCAAATGAGGCGGGAAGAATGGGCGCGTATTTAAAAGGAGAGAGAGACAGGGGAAGGCCGCATGGAGACGCGGTCGGATGTTACTGGCACGCTTGTCTTGTGGACGGTGAGCTACGTAACTCCATCTCCGTCGCCCCGGAATCACACCATCCACTACGAGCGCCGTATAAACGCAGGTCCCACATGTCTTTGCCACGTGGACACTAACAGACGGGAGAGAGACGCATGTGGGTAGATCTGCGGGAACAGCGGCGGCAGCCGGTGTAGCGAGCGCCTTGTCGAGTTTTCTTGTGGCAGTTGGCGTCGTTCGTTGTCCGTGTGTCCAGCGGTGTCACAGAATACAGCAGAAGTGGAACCCAGCAGCAGGCCGAGTGAGGCTTACAACTTGGAATTCACTATATGTGGCCGTCACCGGCTACTCCGCTTCCATGGATGTGTTTGGTTGACCTCACATTGGGTCATCCTTCACCACTTTTATCCTTGAATCTTCTTTTACGGTGTTCTCACTCGTTGACCGTTCAAACAGTCCAATCAGCGTAGGGTACTCGTTTATAATGAAAAAGATGTGGTTATCTTCAGTTGGTATTCAAGTGAGGTAAGAGGGGTTTGATCCCAATCATGCATGTTGTTGTTGATTGGATAGTTATCTGATAACGTGGCTGATGACTGGGACGATGCTCGCATGTCTTCAGAACTTGTTGGATCCGATAATGTCTTATTATTATCGTAAAGGTTTAAACAATTCGGAAAGGATTCAATTTATATTATGCTCTAACCATTAATCCCTTTTGTTTACTCTATTAGGTGCGTAAGATCAATAAGAATGGTGTTTATACTTGTTGATCGAAGACATTGGCTAACTATTTATTTGCATGATCAAATATAGCCATTGCAGTCCAAAGCCACAAAAAGCTTTGTGGGTTTGAACATGAAATTTACAGGAGATGGCTCATCGAATTAGTTCTGATGGTTTCCCCTCTTTCGTTTTTTGATCCATGTAACACTCGCTGGTGCTAACTTATAATGGAGTGTGTAAGCATACTTTGGGAATCCATATAGATTCATATCAGTAGGGAACTTGTTGGGTTCTTCCACCGGGGAAGAAGGTTTCTACTTCTCTAAACTTGTCACAAACCAATTTGTTAGTGTACGAGAATAGATTGATCACGGCAATACCGATTTCTCATTTCTTTTTATGATAATTGTGTTTCCTACATAATGGTATTAACAATGTTCTCTTTTTAATCTTAGATTACCTTTCTCTGGTAAATTTCTCAAAAAAAAAATTTAAGTTTTCACTTTTTATCCATAGTGAATCCTTTATTTTTTTAAAAATATAAGATTACTCTTGATCTTTGTCCGTTGCCTCCACTCCGTCATGAGGCCTCTCCATGTGATCATCTATTGCTCAAGAGTATCGAGGTGGGGGATAAAACCGAGGGCAAAAAGATAATCACAATATCACTTTCGTGCAACTGCGATGCCCCATTGTCTTATGCAATATTGATTATCGACTTTTTTTCCAATGTATCATGGTCATTGATCTCGATAGATTAAAAGAAGTTTTTCCTCTCGTCTGTCGCATGGCCTATTGTGCCATGTGTCACCTATACCTTCTTTCCAAACTACTCAGCTCCCTTAATCGAGTGATGACGAGAGGCAAATACGACCAAAAACAATAGACAAAAGTGAGAAATGATATGCTCCTTAATTCAGGAGGCTTGGAATATAAGAGGTGGTTGAGGACATCCTCTTTAAAGATGACGTTTTGAGAGGTGTTCGAAATAGAGATTAGGAGGAAAATAATAATAATGACAAAGACTATGGTAAAGATGGAGGGCGAGGGTAAAAGCTTTAGTGACACCTTGATAGTAACAAACAATGATACAAAGGTCAAAAGTTATTGATGAGAGCGTCGAACAAGAATAAAGGCAAAGGCGATAGATGAGAGCCCGAGACGATCACAATGATACAAAGGTCAAAAGTTAAAAAGAGGATACTATATGAAAAAAAAAATCTTATGTCTCTTTTTAAAATTTGCCCCACTTGTTATTGATGGCAAGGAACAATTTTTTTCTTCTGTACAATTTGTTTCGGTGTTAAATGAGTGGAACTTCGTTCTCATGCATGCATTCAACAAAAGTTGGTATCTATTCTTGTTTTCGCCTGATCTATGAAAATATATTCATCTTCTGATCATGAAGAAACAGTGTTTTTTTGTTTTTTGGCTTTACACATTCTGTAAAAGCTGATGCATCTGATAGTTCATGTTCATTCACCTTGGTGTTGACGTATTCACTCTTAAGAAGTAAAACAGATAGCATCTCAGTAGCTTCTTCCGTCTCCATGATGCACTAATTTTCTCCCTTCTCAGTTGTGTTCATCTGCATGGCCAGTTCAGTCTTCTTATCGGAACTTAGAACCATGCTGCTGTGCTACACTTTGGAAGAGATCGAGAGACATCTGTTCAAGGGTGCGGTAGCGATCTTAGTTTCACAGGATTCATTAGCAAACCATGTGCATATCGTCCTTTAGGAATGTTCTCCTCCTCATCAAACATGTACTCGATAAACCCATAAAAGCACAAGAACATATGCGATCCCATTGTCTGCCACCACAACAAAAAAAAAAGAGGGTTTTGGGCAAGATTAATCCACTAATCCATGATACTAACTTTATTCGCAATAAAGACGAACGTCGTAATCTGCATAACACTGAGATTAACATGGAAATGCGAACACAATTAAGTACGACAAATGCGAGAGCATCAGAAAGTGATGTTCCACCTGCTAAGTTGTCTTCTTCGTGAACCCACCAGTCCAATAATGCCATCATTATGGAAGAAAGTTTGCAAGGTGGAGCTGGAGATGACTCGGTCTCAGCAGATTCATAGTGAAGCATCGGACGTATTCCAACCAATGTTTTTTTGCTGGTCGAAGCTATGATGTCTCAGTTCGTCTCTAACAGGGCTGTCTACTATTGTGTTTCTGCATCAGAATCGAATCACACACCGAGCCAACCTCAGTAATTCCACAGTTTCTGCATCAAATGAAATCTTGGTAACTCTAAAAAGATAAAAACGATCTATTATATGAGACTCAAATACCATCATAAATCCCAAAATAATATATGTGAAAAAGAACTTTCTATCGAATTGGTCATCGACCACACCCATGGGGAGGGGGACCCACAAAAGAAAAAGAACAGTAACGACGAAAAGAATGCCACACTGGGTCCCACAGGATGGAGAAGCGGCCAATCTCAAGAATACCTACCATCCCCACTCAACGCACTGACTCACTCATCTCCCTGTTCATTGGCCCACAACGTCGCTTTCAGTCTGCCCCACATGCCTCCGAGAGGGTCCACTCAGTTACGCACCCGGAAAGCAACCACTTTTTTATTCGAGTGCTGTCATGGGCCCCGGCCGCAACAGGGCTGGGCATCCCGTATAGTTGACTCAAACAGCGAGCCCCACGGTGTGGGGCCTGCACTCGGACCAATCGGAGGGGCTTCATCATGGTTTCGTCTCTGGCCGAGCCACGGGAGCCGGCCCCAGCCACGAAGTGAAGGTGTGGAGGCGGGGCCAGCCCTCAACGTCGGGGGCCCCGCCGACAATGCTGGCACTTCGTCGTCTGGCGAAGCACGTTGGCCCACAGCGCTTCGCGCGGCACGAGACGTGGTACACGTGCGGCCCCGGCAGACCCACAGTTCTTGATCGGACGGTGGATTTGGACGGGGTTACGAATCCACAGCCACGTGGCCGTCGCTCGACTCCGCCCTCCTCCCCACTTCGCCATCGTGGGCAACCGGCACGCGCCCCTCACTTCCCGGTTACCCGGTCTCCATCCGCGGAGGTGACTTCCCGTCTTTCTCCGACACCTCCGTCTGTCCCCCCGAAATCCATGTGAGTCTTTCGCAGGCTTGCTCTCTATATCCGATAACCTCAGGATCCCCAATCCTGACCGTCCAATCTCTTCATCCGACGGTCTCGATTCCTCTTGTTCGGAATCTCCTATATAATTAGTTTACGTGTAGCGGAGTTGCTCCCTTCGTCCAACCGCATATATTTCAGCTAGCAATGATTGCTCAATAATTCAATATTTTTCACCCATTAAAATAATAAAGAAATTAGTACTAAATAATTGAGTAGGTACTAAATTGGAGACGTTGATGCCTATAAAAAGCGAGCACAAATCCCCATTCTCAATCTCCTCCAAATTGCTCTCTGGGTGTGAATCTAGGGTTGGGCTAACTCCGGCCAAGATGGTGCATCAATCTCGGCCATTAATCCGGCGGCTACCGGACCCTATACTAACCGGTGATCGAGCACGGCTGGCCGACGCCACCCCAACACAGGTGAACTCGCCGGAACGTAACTCCCAGTCGCCTAAAGTCTGGAGGAAGCTCGAGCCCGACGGTGTCGGACTAGCCATCGTGGCGGCCCTCGAGAGGACCCGCGGCGGGAGTCCCGCTAACGTGATCGTTAGCACGGCCACGTCGCCGATCGCGATCACTCCGTCGAGGACTAGCCGGCGTAGAGGGTGTCCGGAGGTATCTGAACTGTGCTCCAGCGGTGGAAGTGGTGAAAAAGGGAAAGGCGGTGGAGATTTAGGAGAGCGGGTGATGGATTTCTATTGCGAGTCCCTGTCGCCGCCGACGCCCGGAGAATTTGGGGGGTTTCAGGTGGCTGATTTCCTTAGCCACTGCCACCTGTGTAGGAAGAGACTCCATGGAAAGGATATCTACATGTATAGGTAAATTACACATCTTTTAGTCTCAGATAATTGAAGAGATTGGGATCATCTACTTCTTTGGATGATCAAGAACCAATCTTTCTGTTCTGTGAAATTAGATGCATAGCATACGATGGTGTGCTAACGGAGATGCAATCGTTGTTGCAGAGGAGAGAAGGCGTTCTGTAGCATGGAGTGCAGATACCAGCAGATCGTCAGTGACGAGTACCAGGAAAACTGTGGGTCAGAAGCCACGAGACCGACCGAGATATCGAGCTCGCCGTACTCCGGTGACCGGATCTTCTCTCCGGGCATCGTTGTGTCGTGAAGGTGGAATCAAATGAAGGCATCAGAGAGCTTGGAGCTGCCGGAAATCACACCATGTTTACACATGATGATATTAATTAGCATGAGAACAGTGTAATCCGTTGCGTAAGAGAAATTTTGATAGTTATGATCGCAAACTAAATCCCAGTTTTTCCTCTTCGAAGGTTTGGGGTTTCTTGGCTCAAGAAATCCATGCTATTATCTTTCATCATGAAGAGCCAAAAAAGATGCATCGAGTTGGGATCACCATACAGAGATGGGTAAACGGAAATTATAGATTTGGTCAACCAGAACAGATATGTAAATTTGATCCAATTCTTCTACCATCTACCATATATTAAAGTTCCTGAGAAAGCTTTGAAGTCTATGCTGATACATGCAAGAAAAAGCTGCTCCTGAAAAATCAAGAAAGATGAGAGTTGGAGCTAAGCTAAGTTCAAAATATCATCTTTTGGGCCAATATTATTTGTATCTTAAAATAAAAAAAATACTTATATAACAATTTATGAAGATGAATTCTTATGAAAAATAGGCAAAAAGATTGTATGCTCAATGATTGAACTCATGCCCTTGGAAGGAATTTAATAGCAGGAACACAAAGAAGAGCAAGATGAGATGGTATCATCCACAGGATAGTTTTAGAATCCTCAGTTCAATCAGTCACCGAGGCTTTCTCGAGAAGTTGGGATGTTTGAACCCTTCATATTTAAACCTAACTAAAAGATCTCTCAGCTACAAATAAATAGCTTTCTTATTCACTAGTTTACACAATTTATCACTACTTTCCTTTGCACAGAACATACCAAATGTCCAAATTATCTGAAATATATTGATTGTATGCAATTGCAGTGATTTTTTAGGTTAATCAGAAAGAGAATAATGAAGAAATATTTTATTCATATTTTGTTACAATAAATACATTGAAAAAAGTTTTTCGGGTCATAATAATTAAGATCAATTTATTTTTTATTTTAAAACTAACTAGAGCATCAAAAAGACTGTAAACCCATTCAGCAGTAGTCTTCGTGTGACTTGACCATCGAGTAGTCACACTTTCTATGGATATGAATCCGAACTAAGTTAGATTGATTTCGTCTAGATATTATCATTTCGTCTATGTATAAGCCATAATGGCACTTTGGTAAGCAGGGAAAGAAGAAGTGTTGGTCTGTATGAAATGACTGTATCAAGTATCAACATCTGGAGATAAAAGGAGAAAGGAGATTACTGAAACATAATGCTGGAAGCTGTTCTAGCAAGTAGAAAAGACGCCGGCGGGCCCCGCCACAACAACGAAGGGCCCGCTTAGGAATTATTGGAGGGTTTCCGTGGTGGGAGGTCGGGGATCGAAGCCCAAATCCGAGCCACATGACCAGCTCGAACTGCCCACCCCGACCGCCGCCCGCCGTGCAGAATTTGTTGGGCAAAACCGTTTGATCCACCGTTCATTTACGGTTTCGTCTACCCCAATGGCGAATGCTTCAGTCGCACCATACCCTCATTATGCGCACACTGTTTCGTGAACCTCAGCGGCCACTCGAGACAGCGGCGGAAACGAACAGACTCGCTCACTCGGTCATTTCCTCAAACGTCTCTCGCTCTCTCTCTGCGCGATGTTGAGCTCGGCGGCCACTCGTCGCTTCCTCTCCGCCCTCGCGTCCCGCCACCGTGTCGCCACAGCGGCACCCTCCGCCCTCCGCTGCTTCTCCATCGACGCCCCGCCCCTTCCCACCCCTCCCCCGGCCCCCTCCGAGGAGCAGCCGCGGCAGCAGAAAGATACCTCGGAGTATGATGGCTCGGCCCGCCGGCAGAGGGCCGGATCCAGGACGACAGATGGCGCGGGGAAGTACGAGGAGGAGCAAGCTCGGGTCCTCCGCGCGGCCCTTCCTCACGTCGTAAGCCTTCGATGCACTCGAGCGCCTGCTTCTTGACTGTGTGCTAAGATCTGCGTTTCTCGATCTCGCGTGACATTTGTGGTGTTGCAGGTGAGGATGGGATGGAGCGAGTCCGCGATGATCGCTGGGGCGAGAGACGCGGGCGTGTCCCCGGCGATTGTCGGCTCGATTCCTCGTAAAGAAGCCGCACTTGTTGAGGTAAACAGACGCAGCTTTGTCGATTGGTCTGAGATCAATGCCTACCTCACCCTTTTCTGTTTGATACTTCTGAAATAGGCTATTCTTGTACATTCTTTCAAGTAATTAGAGCTGATTCGTGATTGTAGATGGCATTTGGTTTTGCCGTGCCTTATTTGTTTTAGAATGTTATGAAACTCCACTGAACCTTATGGATCAATTGCAAGTTTGAATTTCTGAATGGAAACTACATATCTGGGTTTCGGATTAGGTTGCAGAGTTTCTGGGACTGTAATTGGTAAAAACAAAAATGGGATTATTGTTCATAATTCTAGGTTGCCAGCTAGTTCTTGATCGATAAAATAGCCTCAATGCTTAGGTTATGCTTGCATAGAATTGACATTCATGTACACCTGTTTTCTTGTTCTTGAAGAGTTGGATAAGATCTAGATCAAGGCACTCCCTGTATGCTGGCTGAGACAAATCAAAAGTTTGATGTAGCCATAGTTTAAAATTGTCAGCACTGGCACGTCATGCTCTAACATGTGGTTCTTCATGCCGATTCAATTATTGCCGAATGACTTTTCTGTCCGAGTAGTTTTTTTTTGGGTTTATTATAGTATTTAAATAAATGAGGAACAACCCTATTTGAGATCAACATGAGGAAATCTCATATTTAATTCGTAAATAAAGAAGTTCAGTCTTCCAATCTCAGTTGGAAATTTATTTTGTACCTAGGATTAGATGTATAGATTCTTATATGATATGTTTTAGAGTTTGAACTTTTTTTGTACTTATGTAAACATATCTCTGATGATTGGGGCATTCATTGCGTAGATTGAATTTTTATACTAACATTCCTTTTCAAGGAAGTCTATCCCAACATTCTTAGGCATAGAATTTTGGCAATATGATTATTACACAAAGTTTAAAATAAAATTACTTGAGTCAAGAATATTCGACTAATCATTATTAGCGACATGTTAAACAGGTTTTGTAGCTCTGGTGTAGAATGTCAGTTCATGTTGGCATTATCGTTCAATATATTACAGTTGACTTGCACTATGTTAATGGTGGTGAGTTGGCTTAATAAATGCTTATGCTCTCGTTTTCTTTTTCTCCAAATCACTTTTGAGGACAACGTCATCGATGCTGAAGATGCTTAGGTTCTAATTGATCTGATTTAACTCTTCAAAAGTTAATCATGCTTGACACTCATCATGAGAATGTGATATTCCGTATTGGATAAATTTTAGTTCATCTGTTGATGGCTAGTTTTTTCCTCTGAAGCACCTTATCTTGGTATACTTCTCTTGTGGGAAGTACTGGCAGGCCTTGTAGTCATCTAACAGCTTTTACTAGTTATCTTTTGCATGAAGCTTGTTTCTTTGAGTTTTAATAATATCTTTGTATTAATAAGTAATAGGTAGCAAGAACTTAAATCTAATTTTCTTTCATGTTCTTTGATTCTGAGCATATTTTGTTTGCAATTTCTACTGGTCTCAGCTAGCTTGTACTAGTATCCTTTGTGTCATTAACATCGTTTGAAGATTTTAGCTTGGATATTACAACAGGAAGATATTGCAAAAGTCATTAAGATACCTCTAAGATTTTTCATGAAATGAGATTTGAGCATGAAACCCAACTATCACAGATAATAGTAAAGTTTGGTTCTCCCAGTTGAATCTTTATGTGCAAATTGTACTAAAATTTGACAGTATAATATCTGCTTTAAGGAGATATTGACAACCATAGTTTCGGAAGTTTCTCTAGCTTATGCCCCAATCTTACCTGTATGGTATACCACATTGTTCTTAATCTTGTTCGTGTGCTCTTTTTCATCTCTTCAGTTTTTCATGGATGACTGCCTTCAAAAACTTATAGACAAAGTTGAGTCAGGAGATGAACTAAAAGATTTGATACTTAGTAATCGTCTCGGAAAGCTTATTCGCATTCGGTTGAAGATGCAAGCACCTTATATATCAAAATGGCCACAAGCGCTAAGTATCCAGGTGCAAGTTTGTGTTTCTATTGACCAAGTTATCAGTGTATGAGCTCATTACCTTAGTTTTTGTCAGGCACAACCAGCAAACCTACCAACCAGTTTTAAGCAACGGGCTGAACTGGTTGATGAGATATGGCATGCGGCTGGAGATTCAGGTTCTGACATAGATTGGTATGTGAAGCGAACAGTACTTGGGGGTATATACTCAACAACTGAAGTGTATATGGTGACTGATCATTCTCTAGGTTCAGTTCTTTCACTCGTTAAATTTCTCATGTTTTTTGTTCTAAATTTATTCATAGTTGTTTCTGATTGAACAACTTCCTCCGGATAAAGAACTATTTAAAAAATGATTAGACTTTTTTTCCATAAAGCAAAGTAATCACATCATAAGGTGAAACTAATTCCGTCTCACAAAGGAATAATTTAACTCTGGTGCGAAGGTCGACCCTCAACAAGATAGTGTTAAGGTCATTGCACTGATCTTTTTTCCATTTGAATAGTTGATTCAATTGACGCTCAACCATCTCTTTGCATATTTCAATCTATGCATGCTTTTGGTCATTGAGGTTCACAAAGTGTTGACTTGGGTGCTCTTTGGACCATCATTTGCTGTGAGGTTTTCTTTGGCCTCTCCCATAGTTGCTCCTTCCTCTCATGTCTCTTCCTGCTAATGCCACTTGATTAACAGATGAAGATACTCAACATGTTTTTGTCTGCATGCTATATTGTTACTTTTCATCTCCAACAAAACTAGGCATATTTTATTGTTCTGCAGAGTTTCAAGACACATGGAGGTTTTTAGACCGCTGTATAAAGGATGCTTTCGACTTTCAGAAAACTGTTCAAGAGGTATTACAGTATTATCCTTCCATCTTTCCACCTATAGCTTCAAGTTCATTTGTCACATTAGAAGTTGACCACAGCATTCACGTTGAGCTGGTTTGCTTCTGTAGGCTGCATACCTAGCAGAGGCAGTCGGGGCAGGGATGGGTAACACAATGCAGGGATTCGTGAAGAGGATTTTACAGCGATGAAAATTTTGGATCATAGAACTCTATAGATCTGTGTTACTAAAATTACATTAGTTGCTTTGTGTTTGTTTCTTTGGCTAGAAAATATGTTGGACACTGTCCTGTGTTTAGTTGCTTAATAATATCAATTGAACCGATGGGAGCTCTGTAAAACTCCTTTCTTTCTTTTGAGGAAAGGATCTTAGAACAACTTGAATACAATGTATATAATATTAAGATGGTTCTGAAGTTTGTAAGATGGGAAAAAATGATGAGCTGATTTCCGTTTGGCCACTTCAATGGCTAATGGGAAGGGAAAGAGTTGGCCCCATCTGGTGATATCTTTGTGATGAAAAATTATAACTCCAGTTTAGATGAAGGAGTATGGCTTAGGGAAGGGTTATTATGATCATAGTGTTAAATCCTAATTGTGAGGACTATGGTTTCTACTTCCTTATGGATGATATGGCAGACTGGAAGTGATGTTTCATTTCATGGGGCTAAGTGTACATATGGTATCTTGTATCCAGTTGTTGAAAAAGATATTATTTGGATGAATTCCAAAGTTTTAGGTGATATCCTGAACAAACATGAACTTGCTCCTCCTCTTCCGAGTTTACAAAAAATAGTTGACATAATTTACCTTTTAAGTTCTTTGTTAGATTTTTCAAGTTTATATTTATTTATATATATGTATAATGATAAATTCTTGATTTTTTTTTAACTTTCTGTCTTTTCTCACTTAGCACCCTTGGTTTATTCTTGCGGAGTGCTTTTTATTTTTTATTTAAAGATGAAATTATATTTGGTCTTTGTCCCGTGGCATTGCATTGCATTGTGGGCCACCTTTTAACATTGCGAGACCCTTGTTGTATTCACCTTGTCACAAGACCTGTGTCACCGTCACCTTCTCCCACCTTGAGGGTGTTAGCTAGCTCATATGACTACGGTTTTCTCCTTACCTTGGCCCTCGTCAAGATGGCCAATGCTCTTGGGTCCCTAGCTTACGTTAGAGCTAACCTCAATCGATAGTGCTCTGACTCGATATTATAACATGTTGACATCATATTCACGAATTTGGTCCATTTGACAAAGCAACCCTTGTGCTCATAACCCCCCTTCCACCCCTGTGATAGGCGATTGACTTCTAGTCGATGAGGACATCGGAGGAGATGGCAAGAGGAAGGCGACCAAGGCGAGGCTTCTCGTCTAAGGATTATGGATGTCACTTAATGAACAAAGGAAGGAGGAGGAGGGCTTCTCGTTAGTAGATTGAACGGTGATAGAAGTGGGAAAATAGATCCTAATGATAGAAAAGGGTGGGGAAGGGACTTTTACCACCTATATGAGGTCCCGCTAATGATGGATCATAATAAAAAGATTGGAGCCATGATGATCGAAGGAGTGAGAGTGGCGTTGACGAGTCACAAAGGTAATTTTATCTTTTAAATTAGAGGCGCTCTGCCAAAATAAACCAAAAAGGAACATTATGTGAAAAAAAAAGGTGAACTTTAAGAAATTTACCATATATATATATATATATAGTATCTTGATCTCTCAAATTGTAAAAAAGCAACCTTACCATTGTATTAAGATCTGTAAATAGTAGCATTGATAATTGATAACTTTTAAGAGAGAGAACCATCCCTCTCTTAAGCCAAAGGTGATGGATGTAATCTTTTCAAATATTTAATATAGCTTTCGACAAAAAATAAAAAGAGAAAAAGAATCTTCAAATACAAAGAATCGTTATCGTCATTTCCTCGTGTCTTAAGTCAATTGCTATATATCAACATACAAACATGAATACAAGGCATTATACAACTCATCCTGGAACTAATGTTCTTGTTACCGGCAACATAAATCAAACTATAAACATATGCATGCAGTAAATAACAAAATATACAACAATGGCATGGCCAGAGAAATCTAACTATTCGGAGCCATCACAGCATAACTCGGTGCAGCACTCTGAGCAGGCAAGGCATGAAAGAGCTGTACAGAGCTGTGTCATTACAATCACAAGCTGATCGTTCACCTTAGAACATGTTTTTATGAAGCACGGGCAGCAGCAGCAGTAGGCTATCCCGTTGCAGCAGCCAACAGCCTTGTTGTAGACGTCGAAGGTCTCAGGTTCCTTGAGCCCTCCAAATCCAGTAGGATGGTTTTCCGTGGTTGCAATTATATCTCCAAATCCAATGGCTGTTCTGCGTACCAAAACTGATAAGTTTTCTTTTGGATTGGCATGCTTCCGAGAATCTTTTTTCTTAACCTGTTACAGCCATGCAACATCTATCAGATAATTTGGACATTACGGTGCTGAGATCCTATGCCAGTTTTAGGTTAAGGCAAACAATAATAGTATGATGTTTGAAAACTTTATTTTATGTTGTATCTGATCTACTTAGAACTCATTTCAATCGGAAACACTACTGACGAACCTACCATTGCATTCAAAAGTCACAGAGAATTGAGTAGACACTCTCTTTTACATAGGAATTTGGAACATATATAATAACAAAAAGTTGAAATTGTAAGTCTCAAAATGCGATGGTTTAGTGTTGAGACTTGTAAAACGATCAAGGTTTATCATAACAGAGGTTTCTTTCCGGATTTCTTGGCTATTGATGATGCAACCTTATATTGGGAGATTTGAGTCAACTTATATAAAATGATCATGATATCTTAAATACATGAATCTGACTCCACAAACTTTTCATCATCAGAAACTGTTTGATGTTCAGAAATCCCAGAAAACAAATACTCTTACAGTGGCAGTAAGGACCAATTGAAGGATCACAAGTATGCATGTTAAAGCCTTACCATATTAGTCGAGAAATGAAGCAGATATTTCTTTGCAATTAAAAGTCATTTCCATGCTTATTTAGCTTACTGGGCAGGCATACCAATGCACCAGTTTATAAAGAACATAATTTCAGCCAAAGCAAACTTAATCTCCAGAATAATGTCCAACTCTAGTTAATATTCAAGGAAGTTGGATTGAAATTTTTTATTATCAGATCACCTACTATTATTAGACAGGTGAATACCTGCCTTGCATGTGGTAAAATATGATAGCACAGCTGCAGTACCTGTTTTATTGCCTCCTGCTTTCCAGTGTCAGTTTGAAGGAAGACCATACACGTATACTCTGAGGGGATGCTACTCTGTATGCTTAATTTAGTCACCTATATAATGAAAGAGAAAATAAAACACAAAGTATACATGGCCATGACATTGCTATTTATGAGCAGATGTAATACCAAATTTTATGACAGCCAATTACAGAAAAGACTACTTGACTACATTGAAGAAATCATCTTATTTTTATTTTTCAAAGATAAACTAGAATTTTAAAGATTTCAGCATATTGTTCAGCATATTTAAACACTTCCAATTTAATATATGACAAAAAACAAAGGAATTTCGGCATAGGAAAAAACGATTGACATGAACCTGCATATCTCCATATCTAAAGCAAGATATGCATTTGTCAGTGCATTGTAGTCTAAAATTGATGACATTGGAAGAAAGCCATTCCACATGAGGTCGTAGGGTCATGCATGATTTTGTTGAAGCAGCTTGCTAGTTAAATCAATTAAAAATAACATTTTCTATGCAAAGGTCTTTCTTAAGGAATTGTAAAGTCGTTCGAGTGAAATTCTTATCTATTATGTGAATTATTCATTGCATTTCCTAGAATTTAGCCACGAGATTTCAACTATTTTAGGTCACTGCATTGGTAATTTCCCACCACTGAGATCCACAAAAGAAAACATTATGGTCAGTTTTAATTTCCCACCACTGTTTTCTTTGTAATGCATACTTCCCTCAAATAGTGAATCTATTGATTCATACATTACATTAAACAAGGAAAAAACATCCAACATAAATGCAGGTCTATTTTTCTTTTAAGAATTTAGGGCAGGTTTGCCTCTGCTGCAAGATATGCAACATATCCAAAATAAGACTAGTTAGCAGCACATGCCATACACGTGGGTAGATGTTACTGGAGATGAGGATAATGATGACCTATATGGAAAAGTGAATCTGACATGCATTCAGGTCAAAGCATATACAAGTACAGAATCAAATATATTGAAAACTCTATCTGAAAGAACAGAATAAGATTTAGTAGTTATGCACTTTAGAACTTCTAAATTGATCCATGCATACAGTAATTGACTGTTGCAGATGACATACTAAGTGTGGTAACAACAAACCTTTTCCTGAAGTAGTTTGCTTTCAGAAAACCATGCCTGAGCTGTAAGAAGATCAATATGTTGCTTAGAAAAAGCCTGTAAAAAGAATCATTTAAGGAAAGAATATCATTCAGATCTGCAATACCAATAATCTGTGGCCTGCATACACAGCTAATCTCAATTTGAATATAAAGTCAAATATACGAGCATAAATATATCTAGGCAGTTCTAATAATAGTGATGTTGGCAGTCATAATAATTTGAACTTACGGATTCTGATTGATAAGGATCCAAATCTTGGTCCAACATCTATCTAGTAATCTACTGGACCGGCATAATACGTCACCTGGTATCACCCCAAAAACTAATATTGACTGGTTCTTGACCATTTGGTCTGAGACTGGTGCTAATCATCAATGCATAATATGTTATCAGAACAAGAGTTTTTTGATATTGCACTGAAATTGCTGGGGTCATGCCATCCCATGCTGGCCGGGATCAATATGTGTGAAACCATTATCACATGTTATTGTGGGTAGGTGCAGGCACTGAATAGTGAATACAATGGCATGCTTCATTGGCTCATGACCAGCATGGGCATCATGCAGTACCACACCAACCAGGTACCATATGGTGGCAAAGACCCCATGGACAAGTATGGCATACTTAATCTTTGATAACAAATTGACATGAGGTAAGATGTCTAACAGAAATTAAAGGCATTTAGATCAAACATAAGCATCTTACTTTCTCAAGAGGAAAATCTTTTGTATGTTGCACCTTCAAGTCAATAATAATGTCACTCATGTCAGCCAAGATTCCCTTAGCTTTAAGAGTCTCCGGAAACTTTCCATGACATCTGCCTGATATGATCAATGGACATCGCATTAGGTCTGGAATATGAGTAGGGTATACCTGCAAGGAAAGCAAACAAGTTTTAAGGTGATTATATGCCTAAGAAAACACGCAATTAAATCATAAATTGCTTGATAATGAGATAAAATCTAGACAGAGAATGATAAAGCAAAATAATTCTAGATATATCAAATACCACCCAGATTGTGTTAATGGCATGTTTCACCATGATTGACATTATAGAATGAAGTTTAAATCAGACCTTCTGTTGGTCCAAACAACTGACCTGTTTGCAAAGTCATTTTTGATGCTCATAATTTTTAAAATCAATACTTATGGTAGAGGATTACATAAGTAGTCCCCACGGCACAAGAATATTACTCCACAAGACAACTCGATCAAATTTCAAGAGTCATAAAACAAAAGAGAACCTTAATAATTAAGGTCAGCAATGAAGGATATGGTATCACATTGCACATGACCATCATCAAATTATATTAGCCAACCTTTCTACTTTGGCAGTGATGTAAGTTTCCACCTTCAACAAGCTAGAACTATCTGATAGTTTGGATTTAGTGAAGTATCTACATGTTTCACTAGTTAAACATGTTGTGAAAGGATGCTAATAGAAAGCAGTCAAAAGTAACAACGTTTTCCAAGCAATGGGACTTTGTGATGAAGAGGATACTGCATTTATTCTGGAGTAAAGCATGGACCATCCAAGACTCAATTAGATTTTAAAAACCAGAAAGGCAAACCTTTGAGTTGTATTTTGTCAATTTAATTTGACAAGGAAAAAAGTCACGATTACCTCAAGTTGCATGCATAAATAATAAAAGAAAATATGGTCTAAAGCAAGGCAGACTGATATCTATTGGACCCAAGGATTGACTTTTTGCTCGGACCGATACGTACAGGTCTGAGCATGAACCGGTACATGGACCATCCCTAGTTTGGTCTGCCCATGCAACATTGCATACTGTCGCCATGCAACACCTTTGTCGTGCACAACCGCACACCTTCGTAGTGCACATCACCACACGCCTCCGCTATGTACAGTTGCCTATGCCTCCGCCACAACCTCGCCACACACCTCTGCCTTGCACAGCTGCCTATGAGAACTCCTCTTCCTCCTCCTTCCTCTTCCTTTCTCATCCTTCTTCCTCCTTCCTCCTCTTCCTATACCATCTCCTTTCCTTCTTCCTCTTCCTCCATCCCTTCCTCTTCTTCTCCCTTTTCTTCCTCTCTGAAACACCAATACATTCTAGCATATTGACGCATAGTACACCAGTGCTAACCAGCATGTACTAGTCTGACCAGATCACCAAAATGGGTCTGGTACCCAAAACGAAGATCCTTGATTGGACCAGTATACCACTCCCACTAGGTTGTGGGCTGCAGACCAAGTTTTTTATAGTTTTTTAATCTGAATAGCTGAAATCATCTCTCTCTCTCCTTCTCTCAGCAGCAATGATGCTTTCTCTCTCATCTCTTGACAGTTTTCCCTTCAAGGAAGCTACTGTTAACTGGAATCCTTTCTCTCTCTATTTCCTTCCCTCAGCTGCAATGTTGCAACCTCCATGTCTGCTATAACTATTGCCTCCTCACATTGTCACTGCCACTGCTTCCTTATATGACATGCATAGCCATATCTCCCTCTTCCTCCTCCTTCACTTCCTTCTTTCCTTCTCCTTCTCAGCCTCTTTCTCTTTGTTCCATACCAACCCATTCGAGGGTGTCCTGTGTCAACACATCTCACACACTGAGATCTATGCTGGTCCGATTGTGATTGGTACAAGTCTTGGACTGGTATTGGGGACCTTGATCTAGAGCACAAAAGAATCACAATGAAGGGGAAAGTGGCATTTTGTGGTAAACTGATCTGGTGGATGAATTGATTATAGCATTAACCTCATGTTACCAGTTAAGGTTGACATTGCAGCTGCAGGAGGCTAGGAGCTCACAGTTCCAGAACATACCTCTACTTCATCAAGATCATTGAAGATGTCAATAGTGATATTTGCAAGCATAGTGGACAAAGCCCTATGAAACCATCTTGCCATATGCTTTTCAATCAGATCTACATAGAAAACGTAAGGTGCAATTAGCTTGACATAAAAAAGGGTCAATGAAACTATTTGAACTGATGTCACCAGAGAACTTAACTAAATATACAATCATAATGCCATTAGAAAGCTAAGCCCTGAAACCTGACACAAATACATGTTCTCATCCAGACAGAGAGTGAAAACTTGTTACCATGATAAGTTGCTTCTTTGCAACCTGGGAGATTAAGTTTCCAGTCATGGAAACAAGGTAAGACTGCACGTTTACCCTCACCAAACCCTGGCATGATGAGCGTCTTGTACATTGGGCTGAACTCGTTTTTATTAAACACCATAGGTATAAAATAAGTAGAGGCTACTATAGACATAATGAATCATGCATTTTCTATGTCATGTGTCTAACTTAGCTGTACAGCTGTACAAACTGTGGTCAAAACTTAGGGGCCATTTGGACAGTTGACTCTCAGAAACATTGTAGGAGATCATGCAAGTTCACAAGCTATCTTAAAATGCACTTTTTTTTCAAATGAACAGACTTATATGGAGGTCTTCTTTGTTCTATCACTGAGGCACTGACCATCGAAACATTCATTCAACCATTTACCATATCATTAGGTCTATCAAATACAGGTCCAGCAAATAAGTGCAACCATCTCTAGTAAGTATAGGGCTCGCTACAAACCAGATGCATCCTACTTTATAATTCAAACTTCAAATTCCAAGCACTAGTATAGGAAAATGACTATTTAAAATTTTAAATCACAGTTCATGCCTCTGTTCAAGATCTCTTGCACCTATAATGAAGAATCATTACTTCCTCGATAACATTATCATCTACCAAGTTGTACATGCACAAATGACATCTAAATGGCTACCCTAGGTTTATCCTCTGAGTCCCGCACACTCTCCTAGCCTTATGAAACATCCAAATCAACATTGAATAGATTTCTCATACATGACAAACCTTAAAAATCATAAATAGAATATTAAAGAAGTGCTTACGTATGTAACAATTAATTTTCACAGAAGGATGCCGAAGATCTTTAACATATTAAAAATTGCAACTGACCTGCACCATATGCAGCATCATACTGACCCCTCCCAATTGATGCCAACATTTTCAAGAAGTAATGATTGCAATAAGAACCTAATATATGTTTTCAGTGTGACAAGAAAATAAAAGAGTCTAAGTTAGTACAGAGCAAATACCTGATGCATCCATAATCAGTGATTAAAATAAACAATAGAATAATTATGCAACACATTATTAGTTGATGGAGATTGACAATTCAATCAAGGTATAACAAGCATAAGCTAGTGCACAGGGAAAAAGAAGCATAGAACCATCTATCACTATCTACCAAAAGGTAAGGATACTGTGGTAAAATTTTAAAAGTAGGTCTGAAAGATCCATTTGAATAAATTGGTGACATTTTAGCTTTAGAAACAAAATACAAAGGTGCTAGTTCGAATGATCACTTCTGAATATATTTGATCGAAGTGGACTTTATGATTCTTAGTAACATATAATAGTTGTAGTGATGGAAGCAATAGAGAAAAAAGAGCAGCCACAAAAATTGTTTATAAGAAAATGAGAAGATTTGCAGCTACATTTGCAGTTAATCTGAAACTTAGATGTTTCTTTTCATCCATTTGAATAAAGTACATAAAATGCAAGTTGCCACACAATAGAAACAGAGAAAACCCATCTAAAAGATATGCCCCCTAGAACACTTCGATGATCCAAAGCGACAAGGAACTTGCATGAAACACAAAGGAACAGCTATTGGAATTACATAGAAACATTTAACTTAGAGATGAATATTCAGGTTTTCTAGAACCATTACCTATGCCAAAAGTAGAAATTCGAGGAGACATATGTCCCTTATTTGCCAGATGTGTTCTAATAGTATGACAGATGTTGCGTTCATCTTCAACAGCTCCATCAGTTATGAGAAAAATTTGTGGAATGGAATTTTGTGTACTTGATAACAAACCTATTGCCTATAAGAATAGAACGAGAAAGAGAACAATCATTACACAGAATTTGAATGCAGTGTTAATAAAAATGAAATAAATAAGAAACAAAAAGAAATAGAAATTTTAATGTAGACATCAGAACAAATTAAATTCATCCTGTGGCTGTAGACAAGAAACCAACAGGTTACAAACATGTAGCTATATATCAAACTTGTTATGGTCAAGAATTTACCTCATTTAATGGATGCATAATGTCTGTCCCACCCTCTGCAACAAAATTTTTGTTCATCCATTGAATAGCATTTTCTACCACAACTTCAGTTGCAGGCTCCAAACAGGATGAGAATGAGTGCAACTCATCATTGAAAGCTATTATATCAAAATAGTCCCCTGGTCTGAGCTCCAAGATGGATGTAGTTAATGCACTCTTAACATTCTCAATAGGCCTTCCTTGCATGCTTCCACTTATATCCACAACAAAAACAACTTCATTTTTGAAGGCCTATTGCATAAACTAAGTTAATTTTCAGAGTTAGGACAGTAACTTGGTTGAACATTTTCACAAAAAAGGAAAAACCTGGCGTACAATATCTACATGCATTTTGAATTCACAAGTGGACTCTTATCATGTATAGGTACCATATAGTATGCACCTACCTTTAGTGTATCAAAATGCTTAGATCATTTAAGTTGCAACAAAAATTCCTTTGGAAGCAAGGAAATATTTGAATTAGGGTACCGGAAAGAAATAAATGGGCATAATGTATAAGAACCAGGGATTTTGAAGATAATAATATAAAGATAATGAAAAAATGTTGAAGGAAGAACCAACTTTTAAAAGTTTAACAAGCTCAGTGAGTCTGATTGTATACTAAATGTTCTAGATAAATTAGTTTCTAAGCTAAGAACCATGGATATGGATATAGGATACACATGTGACATAATACAAACACAGGGATACAGCTAGGATGTACATGGATAAGGTGATTAAAATAATATTTTATATATTTTAGATGTCCAGCATATAAAAAAACATATGTATAAAAATTATTCAAGTATTTATGGAAAATTATTTATGTCAATATACATACTAAGCATCTCCGCATAAGGAAATTATTAATAACTGGTTATATTATTAACAAATTTCATCAACTCTATGTCTATACATGGAAAATTTTGAGACCAATGCCTGATTCCTCAACCTGCATGCTTTCTTTAAGACACCAAACACATGCTGACTCTCAATTCATGAAATGCAGCTTTAACAATTGCCAGGAACTATACAATCTAAATGGCAGGAAAAGATGCAAGAAACCAACACTAAATAATTCAGAATGAAGGCTTGTTTAAAGTTATAGTTTCACTAATTACCAAGTAGACATCAGGTCTTTGAGAGGAATTGGGTGACCGCTTTAGATAAAGTGATTGTAGGCTGACAGCCAAGAAAGATATTTATTCTCCAACAGAACCTTCTTGGTTCAGTGTCCACTATGGTCAATACAAAATTTCATATTTGATTAAAAAAAATTAAGCAATAGTGATAACACCATCAAGAAGACAAGCATTTTTTAAAGTTCTGACCCAATCAGAACAGTGAGATAACATTTGTAACGGAGAACTTACTTGAAGTACTTGGCTTGGCTTTTTCAGTTACAGATATCTATCACGTTTGTCTTGCTTCAAAATAGCTAGCCTAGTTACAGGATATATTAAATGTTGTTATGCATATGTTAATAAAGAACTTTTGCTTTAAAATCTTGCAGTGCACTTATTCAAAACCTAAAATGGCATGCAAGGTTGCAAGCACAAGGAAAAATCTATTTCTTAAGTTGAGGATAAAAGAGTGTTGCCAAAGATGTGCAGAAGAGACATTGGTAGACCTTTCTTTTCTGGTTACTTCCTGGAAAAAGATACAGACTGAATATATCTCTCCGGTCACCATCATATGCTGTTGGGGATTTTAGGAGTATACCACCAAACAAATCGTTCGAGGAGACCTGCTTGAATATAGAAGTGACAAGAAATGAAATACTCATAACTAAACAGAAAAACTGTTGTTTTATTACCTAAGAATTAAAATAAAATTACAAATAACTGCTGCAGAACCTTCAGTAGTCTTATTTATATTAACCTCAGCATAATGCTTGATCACCAAAGCCATAGCTATGTACATCCTTCTTATGCTGGATAAAATCCATGTATTGAAAAAGAGTAAGCTTATAGGTGTTACGTTCATATGTGTTATGTTACCTCTAGCAAATTTTGCATGTAAAATGGTACACATATCGATTTGTATATCCTCCTTTTCATTTGTCATATATGTATACAGTTTAAACATCTTAAATCTTCCAGTAACTTGGGTAAGGATTCCTACTACTATCATTTAAGTACCTTTTGCTCAGTTGTTTACTCATTGGTTCTTCCATATAAAATTGTCATTTTTTCCTTACACCCATAAAATCCCTCAAGAACTAAGATCATAATCTAACTATTAGTTTTTGTAAAGAAAAAACTACAATACATTCAGTAGACAATAGACAATAAGTTACATGAATGTGCAAATATATACAGCAACATCACTAAAAAATATTGGAAAATGAATTTTGCAAGAAAATCTACGTATCCAGGAGAGAATACTCCAGATCTAACTATTCTACCATTAAAAAAGCCATAAGTTTAAATACCAGAAGGAGCGATTTTCAAATTTTACTTGGCACACAGTCATGCATTTTGTGTCATTTTGTGTTGTTTTTGACAAAGAAACACCTATAAGTAGAAAAACTTGTGGAAGCAAAGACTTCATTTGGTTCATATCTCAATCATTAGCTTGTAATCATAAGCTAGAAGATGCATAGCTCATTAGAAAAATGATCAAATTTAAATAAAATGAAAACTCCAGGAAAATAGTACTTACACTAAACGAAAATTCAAGATCTTGGTTTGACCAACCCTCAACGAGTGCCTCGTACAGAAAGTTCAACTTCCCCACTTCACGACTTCTTTCCTGGAAAAGGAAAGAGAGCATGCCTTTAACAGAGCTATTTATTTTCATGTCCTCTGCATGTTACTAACATATGACATATTTTCACCTTCAAAGGACGACTTGATTTCTGCAACACAACCTCCTTTCCGGTACCACTATTCACATTTAGTTGAATCTTCTCCTTTTTTGTTACAATTTTCGCCAATGGAGTGACATATTCTGGAAAATTAAAAGGTATGGTAACAAAGAACTGATCATCTTTATAGATTAACTTTTGAGACCATCTCACTCTAATGGAAATGTCTGAGCCTCCATTAACCTTCAAAAAGGAAATAAAATAGATGTTCATCACATATGGAATTGACAATATCCTTTTAGAAGAGAATATATGATCAGTGAGAGACCAAAATGCATGAGTCAATCACCTGGGGGATTGTTAAAGAAAACAGTTGTGGTTTCAGGAAGCCACCACCTTCACTTTTAGCAGTGTTCTCTATGTTGTGATCTTCTAGCTCAATCACCTGGGTACTGTATGATCTTCCATCAACTTCAACCTCAACGCCTAGAACTGAGTCCTGGTGGCCAAAAGACACTTAGCTTGAGAAGAAAGAAAAAGCTAGCAAAATATTGGCAATAAAAAAACCAGTCAATAAAAGAAGGCATGAATTTCACGGGAAACTATGAAAAGTCTGTAGAAAATTATCTGCATAGGAATGTGCCTAAACAATCAATAATTTAATTTCTACAAGAGAGAGCATTCATTTATTCTATGTATTACCAAGTGATTTACATGCCTTTAATGTTTAATATGGAAACAAAAACCTTTGGTAAAGAAAATATTGAACAATGACTATCACCTAGGATAACTTAGAGGACCATCGTTTTCTGCCAAATTTTGATATTTGTAGTTTACTTAATCCTGTAAGATCAGTATAAACCACCTAATTATTTTAGGATAAAATAATTTCACGAAGACAAACCTCTAACAGAAACCACGAGAATCATAACATTTTCCAGTCACCTTTGGTCTTAGTAAAGCATCTAACAAAGATTTGTGACCACACAATACATGTATTAATCATTGTCTCAACTTGTTCCTAGTTCCCTGAAGGATTGCATTGCCAATTTCGAGAATATAAGAAGCAAAATTATCAGTATTTTTTTTTCTTGTTTTTCTTTTTGCTCATTGTGTTTATGGTACCACAAAAGCTTGATGCCGAGCTAGATGTCATCGTCAACTTATCACCAACCCATCAACTTGTCTTCCCATTTGGCAGCATTCAGCTCAATTCTCTAATTAAGCCACACGTGTCAATTTAATCAAAACGCTAATCTTCATCAACCGAATTGTTGATCGAAAGGATTCATATTTCTGATCGAGCTTGGCCGAACGACAAACAAACATAGCTCGAGATCGGAGTTATTGCAGGCAATTCTGTACGTAAGCAATAACTCATCATTTACAAAATATATATCCTCGTTCTAACATAAAGTGCAATGAAGACCAAATATGGCGACAGCTTCGATGGAATCATCAATCGCCGGATAAATCAAAGCCAAATTTCCTTACCTGCTCGCCCATTGGGACCACCAGACGGCAGTCACTACTCCGGGTCCGCATCACGCAGTGGACCCGCCACCGGCCGCGGATGGCGACGAAGGCCGAATCGAGGATGCAGTCCACCTCCACCCCAATATCGGTCATATGAAGCGGGATCAGCGCCGGCGGGTCGCACCGCCCGTGCACGTGCGGCTGGTAGCTGGGAATGTCCGGGTTGTCTACGATAGCCGGATCGGTGATCACCGCATACACCATGGGCGCCGCCGGTAGAAAGGGCGACTCCGGCGACCGCTCCATTCCCGCGGCCGGCCGCGGCGCCGGTACCGGCGGGGCGAACCGCTGGTCCTTCCCGGCATAGACCCGCTTCGCTAGCTTCAGCCCGTCTTCGACGGCCTTCGCGAAAGCCTCGTCGTCGGCCATGGTCCGCCCGATTCAAGACGGTCCAGATCCCACGAAGAGCTCGCGTCGAAGCCTCAAAAGCGTGCGGTGAACAGAAACAATAAATAAGGCCAAGAAAGGAGATGGAACGGAAATCGCGCCCAACTAAAACAATGACTACATGATTATTAATTAATTAAATATATATATATATATATATACAGTATATGTTGATTTGATATTATTTGACATTAATTGGAATCCTAAATGATATTACTTGTAAAACATTATTATAAGGAAAATTATTGTTATTATATGTATAATATATTATTAGGAGTTTAAATTAGTTAATATTTATTGTAGTGAAAAAGATAATTGCATATGTAAAGAAAGGATCATTGTTTACATGGCCACATGTGTTATCTCAAAATTCATAACAGTGAATACACTATATTCAACGACAGATATGTAATGCAATTTATGTCAAAAACACTTGGTTCCAAAGTACCCGCCCATTGTAAAGTGATTCCGTTGGTCGGAGATGGTGGTGCCCGCAATAGACCCGAGCCACGTCATTCGTGTGAAGTCTTTACGTGTATAATATCGGTGCCGCTGTTTCAGGACGAGGCGAGAGCAACGCGGGTGAAATACGAAACAGAAACTATCACCAATTGACAAATGACGCCTGTCGCTGTGGTGGAATAGGGACACGTGTCGCATCACGAGGGCTGGGACTGTGAAGAGCGCAAACAATGTTCTTTTACAAGTTGTAGTAGTTTGATAGGTTTTACGTTAGAGACACATCAAGTGGAAGATTCATGCGCACAAGCATATCGAGGGAGAAGTTTTGAGGATGCTGGCGTTTTCGTTCTTCCGGTCATATTTTGTCGACAAGAGGAAGGAAAGAGGAACGACAATGGATGGAGGCAGCCATTGCTTTGCACCACGACGCTGTTTCTGCTGCACATGACGTTCGCACGACGTAGTTGGTCTTCTCAACCCAACTCACGCATCTCCTCGTTCTGCACTCCAAATTCCGTACAACCCTCCAAATTCTGCACTCGTCTTCACCACCCATCTCCTCGTTCATGGTTCTACAAAAACACCGAGTTGTTGTTCCTCTAATTAAGCTTGACCTTGACATTGTATTGTTCTTCAATCCGGATCTTGCTTGGCTATAAAAGATCACATTCGAATCCAATCGAATTATCACGGAAGTTACAAGATGTACGATAAATTTAAGGTATAGAAAAATACCAGCTCTATGTTTAACTGTTAGCTAATTCACAAAGAAAAAGATCAAGAAATTAACTTAATAACGAAAAAATTAACCACAGAAAATATTAAAGCAATGGTAGAAATAGAATTACAAAGTAATTCTAAAATAAGCATTGGGTCCAAACAAGTTATGAAACTATCATGTGAATCTGGCGACAAAAAGAACTCAGTACTTTTTGTTATGGGAATGACAATGGCTACTACACCATCATTCTGTGATGACAACAATTATTAATATTCCAAAAAGGCGAAAAAACACCCATGTAAAAGAAATCTTGAGAGAAGAGCATCAAATTAATCTATTCACATATTCATCAGCTGATACAACACAAACATCTGGGGCAAAGGCACACTTTTCTTCCAAAGGAGCAAGAGCAAACACATCCACAGGAATATCCAGGACACGAGAGAGTTGGGACGGCACACTGTAATCTGGAGCAGGGAACCTTGCAGCAATTTCTTTGTGTGCATGCACAACATGAGGGGCAGGACCAATTCTGTTTACAGGTGCAACTTGGTCTTTTCCGCCGGCACGACTGATCACCTGAGCAGCAAGTCCTTGTTGGGTTGCAGCAAACCATTGCTCTGCTCACAAATGAACACCCTATGTTAAGATCTCAGCAATACGAAACAGAAACTTGGAAAGACCAAGTTCTCGGTGCATGTACTATATGGCTAGCAATATGAAAAGCAAATTTACTTGATGTTATTACTTAAGCTTGCTACGTGTAACAACTATAGTTAGTATGAGGATCACCAATATGACAAAGGTGTGTGTGTGTGTATATATATCTCTATCTGTGTGTGTGTTATAAAGGATGCTAGAAGAAAGCAGATATTGACCTCATAGCAAAATTCATTCTTAGAAGTAAATTGAAGAATGAAACAGCAAATTATTAAGTTCAGTTTTTATCTGTATAAGAAGATATTGCTTCTTTGCTTGCCTCGACCATGTTCAAACACTGATGCAACTTGACAAATCTAAAAGAAATCAACATAGGATTTTGTAAAGTTCACTTACCATCATGTTTGCACATGACCAAGGCGACATATAACAATTAGTTTGTTCTTAGGCTCCAGCCAGTTTCACGTACCTCAACTCCATTGTTCTATTATATAGATTAAATAATTAAAAGCATTTGGTTTGGTGCATTTTTTCTCTTCCTTTGTTCACAACTTCACATGTCCACCAAACCCATTGTTCTGAACTCAGACAGAACTTAGATCCCTCATGCTTACATATACTACTGCATTCTAAGAGGAGATGGATCTTCCCCTCCTCCAAGATTTTCAGTTCCTTTTTGTGAACAAGGATGATATGAATGATGTTTAGCAACAAATATTTTGGCAAATTGATAAACATTTATTGCCATGATACACAAACTATGATGATATCTTCAAGAACAGTACCTAAGTTATGATGATAGCGCTCTTTATCCAATACACATACACAATCTAACACCAATTACCACACAACATGGTTTTTAAAAGAGTTGGTTCTACAACCTAAGCTTTAAAGCTACTGGGATAAGACAAGCACATGACACATAAAGAAGTACCTACAACAAGAATAATGAGCAGCAAGATTTTTTACTATATAATTAAACACAGAACAATAGTTATTATCCATGTTAATTAACAATTGGTCAGTATGAAAATTTGTCAAGTGACCTTCTTATAAAAACTCAAAAAAAGGATTAAATAACATGAATAAGCTCTTCTCTGGTAGTCCTAAAATTTATAGTTGCTTATCCATACGGTCAATATGGAAAAAAATATTGTATGCATGAAAAGCTAATAAATAAGACACTTAAACTTTGGAACTCATTTCACCAAAAAAGAAATTGCGGATTTAAAAGAATTGGAAATTACCGAAGCCACCTCCAAATGCAGCGGTGTTTGTTTCTCTTCTTAAATCTGATTTACGGAGAATGTTGTAAGTACGATGTTAAAAGGAAAGTCCAATATAAAGAGTGAGTTTATAGTACCATACATTGGGATTAAGGGATCTGGATTTGCCCCTACATAGTCATCAATTCTGCCAATATCATGATAGCAATTATTTGCTCTGCTGATATTAAAGGTAACAAAATAAAAAAGAATTTGGTCTTTATTAACTCATGGTAGGCTCCATAATAACTGGTAAATGCAGTTGATGGCCAGAGAAAATATGCCTCAAATGATTTGGGACATTGTTATAATATCAAATAACATCATTATTACGTGTTTTCCATCTCAACCATCGATCATTGTGATTGCAAAAGAAGAAAAACAATAACTGAGTCTAACGTACTCTTTGCAGCATGCAGAGACTGGTTGGAGTCCTTCAACTGACTGTAACTCCTCCTACTTAAATAAAGTTGTAATTAGTTTCTCAAAATATATACATATATTCAAGAACTTCTGATAAAAAAAGGCATCATAGAGAACATATCTGCATACGAAAACCTGAGTCTACATCTACAGTCATTACTCCAAGAAGTTCATAACAACAATCATGTGTCCTCTTTTTTCGCTGGAAAAATTGATTGCAAAAGAAAGAAGAGAAACAACACGTATTGGTGTCAAGTTATGGACTATGAAGAGCACAAACAACAGAATTATATTACTGAATAACCACAGCAGTTGTTATTCTTTTACAAGATGTAGTTTGATAGTTTTTACGTTACAGACATATCAAGTGGAGTGGAAGATTTATGTGCACATTTGCTGGCCGGCTTCTATGGATACAAGCATTTCGAGGGAGAAGTATGAGGATGCTGGTGTTTCATGTTCTGCTAAGAGGAAACTATCCTGCTCATCTACATGCAAGGTCTGCTATTTCTTCTATGAACTCGATGGATTAGGGATGCTCCCCACTGCAAATGTTCTTGACACTGTTCAGCATGATGTATCTGTAACAATTGGCCAATGATAAATGCATCTATCCGTTCCTCACAAGACAAGAAAAATGTAATTATGAGAAACGATGAACCAACAAATACATCATGCTGGATGGGGAGCATGATGAATTAGGGATGCTCCCCACCACCACCCCCCAACACACACACACACACACACACACAAAACAAAAAAGAAAAGAAACCAACAAATTTTAGGGTCCTAAAACCTTGCATATAAACAAAAGAAAAACCAAGACATTTAGGAAAAAGCTGCAAAATTTGCACATAGAAAAACCCCTATACTTTTTATATTAGAGATATTCAAGAAAGCTACTATATCAAGAGATAATAGAATAAATTAGAATTTTTTTGAAAAAGATTTATTTGAGTGCACTAAATTTTCCCACAGAGAAATAACCAACACAGAGAAGGGTGATCTTCCGCCACACTTTTTGTTTTGGCAAGTACCAGCAGATCCTGCAGTAACTGGGGTTCTATAGTTTTTCTTGTCTTCTGAGAAACAACTCTTGAACAATGTACTTACAAACAGGGTGCTTCCCTTACTTTTGTCTATGCACTTTGTTCTTTGTACAATGTTGCAACTCAAGTTCGCACAAACAATATTCTCATACATTTCACCAACAACAACGAGTATATTACCGATCATCGGATCTTTTTGGTTCATCTCAAAATGCAAAACCTCAGCTTGACCAGTATCTATTGTTCAACACGAAAAAAAAGAGTGAAAAGGGGGAAAAAAATCTGACATTGTTATCGACTTCCACGCTCCCACTGTGCTGCACGTGCATCCCCCACACACTGATGAAAAGGATTCAACTATGACTGTGTTGTCCCATCTAAGAACTCACTCTCAGGACCACATGACAAAGCCAACAACTTCACAGGCATTCAATGGAATCAAAAGAACAAAGAAAACCCTTCAGGAGCCAAAAAAAAAACCATCAGCAGCAGCAGCAACAACAAAAAATTACCTCGAGAAAGCTGATCTCTCGGCTCAGCAGCTGGACCTCCGCCTGCAACCGGTGGCGCCCGCAGAGGTCAGGATACCGGGGCGGCGACCGAGGCCGCGGGCTCGGCGGTACACCGGACCCCTCCTCTGCCGCCATCAGTCTCGTGCGAGCGTAACAGAAGCACTATAACAATCTACCGATAGGCGATGAAGGAAGAAGAAGCGTCGCCTTTAGCTATACGACAATAACAATAAGGGATGGTGGAGCGAGCCGTCACGTTTAAATGCGGAGGAACGGCGGAGGAAAGCAAGTAACCGGATCGAGGGATATGGACACCGCCTCCACCGCCGTTCACAGTCGTTATAAGGAGCACATAAAACGGTCGCCAATGATCCTCACGGTCCGTTATCACGACATAACACCACGAATCCCGTAACGTCCATGTATCGCAGCATATATAACGGGGGGCGTCAGGGAATAAATCCAATAACCCAATATCCAATGGATCTTCATTACGGATCCTTAGAAGTTACTGAATCAAAATCTAGTCAATTGCATCTCTATTACGGATCACACGTATTTGGATCCTAGATGGATCTGATCCGAATCCGAATTGCAGGTTAGGCAGCGCCAGTCGGGTTGGGGGAGCGAGCCACGGTACTGCAGACCGCACGTGACATCCACGTAGGCGCGATCAGGGCTGTTGCTCCGGGATATGCAACACTCTGCAGCTGCCACTGCAGACCTGGAGATTGTAACTCTCCTTCTTTTTGACGTACGTATATATTATATTAAATATATAATATATATAGAGAGAGAGAGAGAGGTGGATGATAATTATGAGTAAATCTTGAAATTATAATCAAAATCAAAATTATAAAAATATATAATATTTCAAATGCACCTATTTTTAAATATTTAAATATAGTAGATGATATATATTTTTTAAAATATTTAAATATAAAATTATATATATTGATCCTTTTTAAATTTCATATTAACAGGAGTCTCATGTATTAAATATATATATATAGATATATTTTTTTAATCCGTCCTTTAATTCTTTATAGCAGTCAAATGAAAACAGCTCATGGTTGGGTTTAAATGGGGGCTGCCAGTATTAAATATGGACCAAGTGGCTCAAGCCTGTGAATTATTTTTATGCTTACACAATCTGTGGTAAGATTATGGTGGGATAAGATTGATTATTGTCGAAAATAAAATGGCCAATTCATGTGCTACTTGTGATCACAGGAGATGGCCTGTAGATGTATGATATGTTCATGAGCTCCGATTCGAGTCAAATGGCAGAGGTCGGTAGCAGATGGACTTTGCAGCTGCAAGAGGACAAGGCATGGAGAGAAGTTGGGGTCTATCCATGGACACACTGAGGGCATTTGAGAGCAGCAGCTTTCCAAACTAGCTCATCACTGCAACAAGCGGTTCTGCAGAAAAATCCAAGAAGCCATTAAAGCTGCCTCTGCTTCAAGCGCTGCAAGCAATCTCATTCCTCTCCACTTTTGGAGTTTACAGCAACGGTGGCCAGCCATCATCTAACCTGTAATTAACATGGTAAGCTAGGAACAGAAGTAGGCAGCCTACTTAATCTGCTGCCTGCAGCATTGCATGCAGTCTCATTCCAATCCATTATTGGAGTTGTAAGCATCTGACTTGTAATCATCAACATGGTAAGCTTGGAAACAGAGCATCCTGGGACATCTACTTAATCATGACAGATAGAGATACAAAAGAAATGAGTGCATTTGGGACAGCAGATGGGCATCACTTCTCACCTGTCTGAAAGGAGATGGATTGTTAATTTCATATCTAAAACTTATATTATGTCAAGTGCACTACATTCAAATGTGAGTTTAGAAGGGTCAAAAAGATGCTGCAGAACAAAGTAAACATTGACTGCTCTGCCTACACCTGCCTAACTCAAGTGTAGCAAGATTAATAAACAAACCTAGTAATTGCTTCACTAAACTAATATAATGCTGCCTAGATTAAAACAATTTGGTCTAACTATTGGAGAACATAACATTATGAAGATTTGTGACCACTCATCTTGGGTCCAATAGCTTGACATTAGCATCTACATTGGTGGAAATGTGGCATTCCTCTAAAGTGATCATTTGAAATAAACAAGCATGCATGGATTTATGGAGCAATCTAAGCAATCATGTTGGTGTGATAATTCTCTTTTATTGAGGTGGGGAAGGGAGCTGTTTTGAGCACAAGAAATCTAAGTCTAATGAAGGGTGGGGGAAAGATTGATTGCAGTTGCTTGCCATCAGCCTGTATCATTTTTCCTCTTTGGCCTTTGTGTGGAACTTTTATGCATTGGGCTCAGGCACAGTGGCATCTGACAATGGACATGGGGGGCAAAGTTTGGGCAAGCATTCAATAATGTGGATAAAGTTGATTCAAGTACAAGCTAGAAAGATGTTCAAAGTGGTCCAACAGGAATTATTATTGACAAGAGACAATGAATGCTTGACCCATCTGCATTCAGGAAAATATTTCTTCTTTTTTTTAATGATAGAAATTACTTTGTGTCATTTTTTTAGGATATTCTCCTCAAACTTAAATTTCTGATACATCATTTTTCAAATGAACTCACTATTTCCTACTATATATATATACACACACTACTTTTCTTTTTTATTTTTATTTATGATTTCAAAATTGACAGGGAAATGTTAGTATAGACCAATAATTTTTCCCCTTTTCCATATTTTTCTCCTAATATCTCTTTGTTCTATTTTTTTTTTCAATCTTTCATAGCACATCACTAAAATATCTAATTATTATTTCTCATTTCCTCCTTATAATACTAAGATTATCATATCTATTATTGCCATCACCAATGATAACTATTAGCATGCCCTAAAATAATTTCTCTGTTCTTTCTTTGTCATCCCTGTGTTCATCATTATCATCTTCTATTATTGGGAAACTCTATTATAACTTCTCCTACTCTTTATATCCTTTTTGTTATTTTTAGGGTCTTTACTATTTTTTATTTATTTATTTTAAATCATCCTTTATGGCCATATTGTCTTTTCTTATTTTTATTTCATACATCAATAATTGTTACAATATTAAAATTTTATCTTCTTTTTCACTTGAGAGGCATCTCTTATGTCATATATTTCCTCCCTTACCCTTCTCCCTATCATTTCTCAATAATAAATATTTTCGATTAATGAGATACATACTTATCTCTATAATGACCACCAAGAAAATAACATAAGTCAAGAAAACATATTGCATAATGAAATCATCTAATAATGATTCATCACCTTTTATTCTCTATAACGACCTTCGCTATATATATATATATATATATATATATATATATATAT